CCATGGACTGCCAGAAGAATGAACACATCTGTCTTCGAAGAAATATAGCCAGAATGCTCCTTAGAATTGATGGTGACCAGACTTTGCCTCACATACTTTGGTGATGTTATTGAGAAGGACCAATTCTTGGAAAAGGATACTAAGCTTAGTAAAGTAGAGGGTCAATGAAAAAGAGGAAGAGCCTCAAGGGGATGGATTGATATAACAGCTTCAACAATGAGCTCCAACAGTATTGACTCTGAGGATGATGCAAGACTGGCCAGTGTTGTGTTCTCTTAGACATGGGGTCACTGTGAGTCAGAACCCATTTGATGGCACCTAACAACAAACTACCAGCTACGCCGCGGGCGAAAGATCAGGCTTTCTACCCTGTACAGGGTCGCTATGGGTCGGAACCGACTCGACGGCACTTAACAACAACAACAACAACAACAGCAGGAGTCCTGGTGTGGTGCTGTGGGTTAATGCGTCATACTGCAAAGCCATTTGAACTGCAAAGTCAACAGTTCAAGCTCACCAGCTGCTCCTTGGAAACGCTATATAGGGTCACTGTGGGTCGGAATCAACTTGGTGGCACTTGACAACAACAATAACAACAATGTTGTTATTGTGTATATAGCACTTTCCCCGAGTTCTGTGAGAGGGTTTACCACATTATTGATCCCACCGGGGACCACAAGAGCAGCAAGGTCTGGCATTCAGAACAGAGTCTTAAGTTGTGAAGACCCAGCTCTGGTTGACAGAAGAGGGTGGTGAAGGCCATCCATATGAAAGAACAGAGTGCTTCTCATTGTATGGCCTGACCCGATTCTGTGTGGTTTGGGTCAGCGAGGGAAAGTGCCACTGGTTGACTGGTGTCAGAGATAGTGAAGAAGTGGGTAAGCATGGGCATGAATAGCCATCATAGTTTGGGAATCAGCCTTGATTTTTTATTTACTTATCTACTCTTGGAGCAGTTGGAAAAAAATTTCACATGAATGTGGAACTTACCACAACCACATACAGGATTCCACAATTCATCCAGGCCCTCACAGTAAGTAGCCCACTCTTTCTTTCTGGCTACTCTTAAGTCTGCAATCTTGTACCTCCAGTCTCCCCCAGGGTCCACTCTCACTGCCCACTCAAGTCCCTAGCTCAACAGGTGTGGTATCATGCCTTGATTTTATTGAACTTTGTGTCTCCTTCTCCTAGAACTATGTAAACATCCACCTCCATCTTCCACTTCCCCCCACAACTCCTGATGACATGATCTTCCTGCTCTATAAACTCACTTCCTCCAACCTTCTTCTGGCCCCTCTGTTTCAACCAGAACCATGTTAAGGTTGCCTCATAGGCAAGTGTGCTGGGCTTTTTTCTTTTATTTTTTTCCAGCCCCCTTGTCACTAGAGTTGTTTGCTACTTCCCCTGGTTCTCTGCATTTTCTTGACTCCCATGGAACACAGTCTTCTTGATTCTCCTTGACCTATTTGAACAGCTCTGCATGATCACTATGGGGTTCTCTTCCTCCATCTGTCCATACAGATGCTGATGGACTTCATTGTTCTAATCACTCCACAGACTCTCTCTAGGAGATGTCAGAGTGTCTCATGATTCTAAGTACTGTCAGTGTGCTGGTGAATTCTAAATCTCTATCTCCAGCCCTGACCACTTCCCTCAACTTCTGGTCCATCTATCCAGTTGCCTGTTGGACCTCTCTGCTTGGGTGGAGGTGAGATGCTTGAGGTACCTCATGCCAAGCAGGTTCAAATCTAAACTCATCAATTTCCCTAAATCTCCTTCTCATTGGTACCGCCCCCACACATGGCACCACCCACCTGGTGACCCAAACTGGAAATCTGACTTCCTCCTTTCTAGGTTCTTTCTTTCCTCCCCCAGTCTTTACTTCCAATAGTCATCAAATCTTGCCATTAGACCTTTCAAATATTTATTGAATTTCTCATTCCTTCTTTATCTTCACTTCTCCTACCAGATGATTATAACAGCAATCTAATAGGTCTCCCTAGCTTTGGTAGCATAGTGGGTATGAGTTGGGCTGCTAACTTCAAGGTCAGAAGTTCAAAACTACCAGCACTTCCATGGTAGAAAGAGGGGGCTTTCTGCTCCTGTAAGGATTTACAGCCTCAGAAACCCTATGCAGGGCCGCTATTGAGTCGGAACCAACTCCACGGCACACCACCACCACCACTAGTGGGTCTCCCTATTTTCTTTCAAGTCTCCTTTGAGTCTGTTATTTTCCCTGCAGCCCCCTCTCAGTACAATCCCCTGTCCCAAGGTCTCTGATCCCTGGAGACTGACCCCTGTTCACAGCTCCTACCTCACCTGCAGCTTCTCGTCCTCACACACTGTGTGATTCTCCAAACTCTTCCCCTACCTCCAAACCTTTGCATATGCTATCCTCTTGCCTCAACCACTCCACCCTATCTCTTCCTGCTTATCATGTGTGTTTCAGGAAGCCTTTCCTAATGCCAGGAAGAGGCTGAATGGGGCTCCTTCTCTGTGCTCCAATGCCTCTCCTAGCTGATTCCGATCACAATCAAGTACCCGCTAACTTATCTGTCTCCCCGTGAAGACTGTCTTTGCAGTTGTAACCTCAGCACCTGACCTTAGAACTAATGCCTAGAATGCACTTTTTGAGTAAACAATTGGCTCAAATCACAAAAACCGACACTTGAGACCCATTTGGATGAGGAATACCTATCTCAAGCTTATGGACCTGTGTCTTAGTCAAAACATGGTGGAAAAAAGCAAGATCCAGACTCAGAGCCTTTATATTTGTTCTCACTGCCTGGAATACTCATGCTTACATCATCCCCAGTTCACTCCCATAATTCTCTCAGCCTCTGCTTATATTGTCCTTATCAGAGAGACCTTGCCTGACTATCCTATATTAACAGCACCCTCACTGCCGTACCCCCTTTCCTTGATTTTTGCCCCTCATCCTTTGCTACTACCTAATGTATCACATAGTTATTGGTTATATATCTCCCACCCTCTTATTAAGTTCTTTGATGGAAAGGACTCTGCTGGTTTTCATGGATGTTTTTTTGGAGTCCTGGTATGGTGCTATAGAATAAGTACTAGACCACAAGGTTGGTTTGCACTGCAAGGTTGGCTGTTCAAACTCACCAGCTGCTCCTCGGAAACCCTATACAGAGTCGCTAAGACACCAACAAGAGGGCAAAAAAATTAAAAAGGCTGCCACTGAATCTATGTTCAAAATACGTGTTAACTATATTGAGATGGATAACTTTCTTATAGAAAGAAGAATGGGGGGGGGGGTAGGAAAGAAACTGAAAGGCCAGGAAAGGAATAAAGGACTGAAATGATTCACTCAGATATGCTTTCTTTTCTCCCAACTCTTGCTTTCTGTATTTGTATTTCCCATGGTCCATATTTTTACTTTATGTTCTGTTGTGCCTGTGTGTCAAAGTACAAATGAACCTGCACGTTGCCCAGGCTAGGCCCAAGGACAGGGCTGAGAGCAACACGTGGCCCTCTTACGTAAGGGCAGCAGGAACAGATACCCTCATCGCAGGCCTGCCCGTGATAAGAAGTTCCTAAGATACACACCTCGCAGCCCCCACTTGCTGATACACACGTGCGTTTTTCCCTGAGTTCAGAGGCTCAAATAATACAACAAGGCCGTGGCCTCTCCTGGAACACCACAGCTGAAGTCCAGCGAAACAGCTGGTACCAGGGCAGACATTTGCCATGAACATCAGTTTCCTTTTGCCCACTGGGCAGAAAAGTCCCAAGACTTTTCAGTGTGGCTATCTGCATCTCCATGATCCCAGCAGCCCATTGGTATCTGGCTGGGTCTCCACAGAGCCTGCTGGAGGTCCCTCCATGCAACCATCCACCCTCCGTGTCAGCCCAGGGTTCACACTTCACTGATGATGGGATTCTAGAAAGAGATCTACATCCTAGGAACTGGGATGAAGATATGTAATGAATGCAGAGAATTCCTACGAGGTGCCAGCCCCCTGAGGTTGCCTCCTTTACTGCTTATCACCTTTAAGGATCTTGATCTAAGGGCTTTGCCTGTCTTATTCACCCATGTTTTCCCCAGCACCTAGCCCAGTACCTGGCACAGATTACATGCTCAGACAAGTGTGTCTGGAAACATGGATGAATCCTGTGAGGACAGTATTAGCACCTTCATTCCACACGAACAGCAGCCTGCTATAGATTCTCCACTGCTGGGACACTGGGCACACGTGTAACTTGTTCACATTCTCCCACCTCGGCCACACTCTGAGCTCCAGGACAGCTCCTGACTTGTTTGCTGCTCTATCCCAGCACCTAGCACAGTGCTGGCACTTAGTTGGTGCTCAGAAAGTAGTTCTTCAATGAAACGATGGATGAATGAGTCCCTGAATGAATGAATGGATGAGTGACTCAGTTAATGAATGAATGAATGAATGAAAGGATGGATGAGTGAGTGAATGAATGGATGTATGAATGAGTGGATGGATGGATGAATAATTGAATGAATGGATGTATGGATGGATGGATGAGTTGAGTGAGTGAGTGAGTGAATGAATGGAACTTAGAGATGACATGTATCTTGTTTAAATTCACACAGCAGACCCAGGGTACATCCTGGCCCCTCTGACCAGGCTGTGAACTCCACAAGGGCAAGAGGCAGTGTCTGGCGTTTCTCATCATGAGCCCCAACACCATGAATAGTGTCTACATATAGTCCATGCTCAATAAACACCTGCTGAATGAATGAATGACTTCAAAGATTGGGCCTTCACAAATTCTTATTGTGCCACACTCTGTAAGGAGGCAGGGACCTCGTGCCTGAGCACGTCACAGGTCCAGTTCTGAGAGAAAGCTGCGGTTAAAGACACAAGCTGTGTTTTGAAGAGCAAACAGCTGGGAGCATGTGCTCCTTTTTTTTTGTAGCTGGAGCATTAAGCTGCATCATTCCTCCCCATCCCAGGCCAGAAGGAAGAGAGCTGGATGCCACAGGCCTTGGCGTTTCAGGCACTGGATTACTGCAACATCTGGGTCAATGTGGCCAACAGAAGCAACCAGGCTTTCAGGATTCCTGCAAGGAAAGCGATTGTTGACACAGGCACACCTCTGTCCAATGTGGGCTAATGTGCTGGACGGCAAGGTCGGCAGTTCAAGCTCACCAGCTGCTCCTTGGAAACAAGGTCGCTATGGGTCAGAACTGACTCAACAGCACTTCGCAACAATAATAAGGCTAATTAGAAAATGGAAGCTCACCCCTTTCTTTTCTGCCCTGAAGACTCATCAGAAAAAGGTGCCCTCCTAGGTGAACCAACAAGAAAAGGCTGCCATTCCTCTGGGCACTAGGCTTGGTCCTCTGTCGAGGGCTCTTGGGTAAGACTCAAGCTTCTCAACCATACTTGGTGACCCTGCAGCATAGTCACAGAGGGCAAGCCTCTTCTGCTCCAGGCTCCCCCAGACTGTGCTGAACTCGCTCAGGCCAAACACCAGGTGTTGGCCTGCCTTGGGTCCAGGTGCCAAAAAGGGTAACAGATCCAAGGGTTCATTTCCATCCAGATTTTCAGACAAGTCAATGACCATGGAAATCAAGGGTTGTAACAGCTGCGCCCGCCCTCTGCCTTTGTGGTTGGAGAAGCAAAGAAGCAGGGATGCAGGGTCCCCTGCTTGCTTGTTGCATTCACCCCTGCACAGAGCACAGTGGCTGGAGCACAGAGGGTACTCTGCTGAAAGGTATCTTCACTACCAGCTGAAGGAAGAAGGTGTCAGCAATGAGCCATGAAGCTTCAGCGGATGTACAGGATGCAGTTCTAGAGTGAGTGTGCTTGTCCGTGTGTGTACACCCATACAGGCAGATACACACGTGAGCACTGTGCAGTAGTGTGTGCAACTAGCATATGCATATGCCCTGGTGTGTGCAAACATGTCTGTGTACCTGTATGTGTGCATGTGTGTGCCCTGGGGGCAGGTGTTCCCACAGATAACTTTTCAGAGCTCAGATCAAGCAGACTAGCCCCCGAGTCCCTCTTAGAACCCAGAGATCCTCTGCAGAGAGGACCTAAGCTCACCTGAGTGGCCGGGAGCAGCTCTGGACACTGTGGCCTGGACACCTGTTGAGGAAAACAGGATTAGTGCCAGGGTGGATCCCCAGAGATGGCATGAGTTGGTCAGAGGGACCTGGGGGAGGTTCTGCTCTTCACCATGCAACTGCAGTGATCCTTTCCCAATCCAAAGTTGACCACGTCATTCCTCTGCTCCAGCCCTTCTCACGGTGACCCTACCTGGTCTGGCCCTGCCCACACCAGCTTGTCCTGCAGGACTCTACTATCCTTCTAACCTCCTGGCAGTCTCTTGGTCCTTCTAAGAGGCTGTGTGTTCTCCCACCAAAGGGTCTTTGTCCAGGCCTTACCCTCTGCATCTGACTCCCTCCCTTATACCTCCTTTCTCAGACTCCTCCTAGTAAATTCCTCCTCAATTTCCAAACCTTAGTTCCAGCTTTCCTTCTTCACAGTTCATCCCTGACTCACTAGACAGGCCTGGTTTCCTGTGTAAGATCCCAGAGCTCCTGACATTTTCTTCACTGCACTATCCCAGTTGTAGTTACATCCATAGAAGAGAGGTAACTTGCATATGGTTTCCCTGCAGGGTTTATGTCTCTATTTGCTCATCACAAGGTCCGCAACCTGGTACACAGTAGGCACAAATAGGTATTTGCAACGAAATTGTTGTTGTTGTTGTTGTTGGTAGGTGTCATCAAGTCGGTACTGACTCACAGCGACCCTATGCACAACAGAATGAAATACTGCCCAGTCCTAGGCCAACCTCACAATTGTTGCCATGCTTGAGTCCATTGAAGCTGCCACTTTGTCAATCCATCTCACCGGGAGTCTTCCTCTTTGGGAACTGGTACAAAGAAAGCAGCTCTGTCCTATGTTGCCCACCCCAAATCCACTTGCACCAAGTTGTTAGCTCCCCAGCAGATCCCAGGAACGGGCTCTGCCATCTTCCCTCATCTCCAGAGCTCACTCTTGACAAGGCTGTAGCGGAGGGAATTGCTCTCTTACTTTTCCGAGTGATGGGACCCAAGTTCAGGACATGGGATTGGTCTATGAGGCCCCCACTGCGTAATCTGGTCCCAGAGCAGGTCTGCAAGGAGAGAGAGATAGAGAGGAAAGCTTCATGAGGGACATTGGATGCGGTCTGCTCTGGAGTGGACTGTGCAGTGCAAGGGCCATCTTTCTGCCTCAGGCAGTTCAAACCCACCAGCTGCTCCTTGGAAACCCTACACTCAATGGGATTTAACAACAAGCAAGTGCAGATGCCATAGTTGCTGTGAAGATCAAAGAAAACCATCACGTAAGGAGCAAATGTGGTTGTGGTGGTGGTTGTTAGGTCCTTTCAAGTTGGTTCCAATGCATAGCAGCCCTGTGTACAACAGAACAAAACCCTATGCCATCCCTACAATCTGTCAGATATTGGAACCCATCGTTGCAGCCACTATGCCAACCCATCTCTTTGAGGGCTTTTGTTTTTTTTTTGCAAAGCATGATGTCCTTCTCTGGGGACAGGTTCCTCCTGATATCACTTCAAAAACATAACATTTCTATAGACAAAATGCTTCTAAGGAGCATTTGAGCTATACTTCTACCAACACAGATTTATTGGTTCTTCCTGTGGTCCATAGTATATTCAATATTTTTTATTAATACTACAATTCAAAGACATCAGTTCTCCTTGGGTCTTCCTTATTCACTGTCCCTGCATATGAGATGATTGAAAATATCATAGCTTGGTAAGATATGCCTTAGTCCCCAAAGTGACCTTTTAGCTGTTCCATACTTTAAAGAGGTCTTTAGCAGCATAACACTTACAAATGTAGCCACTGTTATTAGAACACACGCTTGTAGATAAACTGGAGAGCTGACCAACCTGCGCCCGGCATTGACCTTACCTGCCTGGCCACGCTCCTCCTATTTTCTTGTTCGTCCTCTCCTGTACTGAGGAAACGCAACAGAAGTGTGGACTCGTTTTCCTGCCGGCCATGTGGCCCAAATGCATTTCAGTGTTAGGGAGATGGGTAAGGGAGGTGACACATGGGGTGAGGGAGGGAGGCAGCTCACCGGCTTGCACTTTTCATTCATGGAGTCACAGAGATACACTTCACAGTGCAGGTAGACCAAGTCATAGTTTCCAGCAAATCGGAACATTTGGACAGAAAATCGGCTCTGAGGGGACTCTCCGTTCTCCACCACTTGGATGGTTGAGTCCTCGGCACGTGGACATCTGGAAGGGTTATATCATATAATGTAAGGGGTTTTGCAAAGACCCCAGGATCAGACTTTCTGGGTTCCAATCTTGCTCCATCACCTAATAACTGCAACCATGAGCAACTTACTTAATCCCCCCCGTGCCTGAAACACTAACCACAGAATTGCTTTGGAAAGTCTCTTTACATTAAATTATAACAGTACTAATTACAACATTATTAGGAACTGAGAAGAAATCTTTTTCTTCATTACTACGTCGTTCTCAAACATGTGATGGCTAGAGACTCACATATGAATTGTCACAATATTGACAGAATATTGTGACAAGATCAGCGACTATAAAAACACCTGAAACAACACGAATAACTGCACATAGTTCTAGTAGTGTGTGTAGAAAAAAACCATGTGATTTGACGCATGGTTGTAAATGAGTAATTTTGACAGTTCTGACCAGAGTGTGGTTGGGGGTGGGGGTTGTGTGCCCCGGTTCTGACTCTTAGTGACCGTGTGTATAGGGTTCCCAGGGCTATAAATCTTTATAGGAGCAGGAAGCCTCGTTTTTCTCCGGCAGAACAACTAATAGACTAGAACTGCTGACCTTGTGATTGTGTATTCCTTCCATCTTCTTCTGAGGCTTCTTGCATCACTCAATATTTTGCCCACAGAATCCTTCAATATTGCAACTTGAGGCTTGAATTTTTCTTCAGTTCTTTCAGCTTGAAAAATACTGAGTGTGATCTTCCCTTTTGGTTTTCTAACGCCAAGTCTTTGCACATTTCATTGTAATACTTTACTTTGTCTTTGAAATCTTCCGTTCAGCAATTTTACTTTATTGTTTCTTCCTTTCACTATAGCTTCTCGATGTTCTGGAGCAAGTTTCATAGTCTTTTTTAAGATCCATTTTGGTCTTGTATTTCTTTGCTTTTTGACAAGAAACATCTTTTCATGTTTTCCTGTATGATGTACATGATGTCATCCCTCAACATGGCTGGTCTTTGATCATTAGTGCTCAGTATGTCAAATCTATCTTGAGATGGTCTCTAAATTCAGGTAGAGTATACTAAGATCGTATTTTGGATCTTGTAGTTTTGTTTTCATTTTCTTAAGCTTGAATTTGAAGTTACTGATGATCCGTACTGTGGTGGGCACTGGCCGTGCTCTGACTGAAGATTATGAGCCTCTCCATTGTCTCTTTCCACACATGTAGTTGACATGTTTCCTGTACATTACATCCTACAATGGCCATGTGTATGAAGGAAAGTCATAAAGTTCATGAAAAAATGGAATTAAAAGATAATCAAATTTTTCCATGAATTTTTGAAACCTGGTCATATGTTGTTGTTGTGAAATGCCATTGAGTTGGTTCCGACTCATAGTTCTGAGGAGTGACTGATGCATTTGAACCACCAACCTCGAGGTTCAAACTGACCTTGTAGTGCTGCACTTATCTTACAGTGGTCATTGATGTGGCTGAAAAATGATATTTTCAGTTAATAAGCCATTGGTCTTGAAAATTTTATCATGTGATCTCTAATGTCCTTTCTATCGCCAACACCATACGTATGTCCCACTGCTAGTCCGTCTTTTTTTGTTTCCAACTATTACACTGCAATCACTAGTAATTATCAATGCATCTTGATTGCATGTCTCATCAATTTCAGTCTGCAGAAGTTGGTAAAAAATCTTCAATTGCCTCATCTTTGGCATTAGTGTTTGGTGTGTAAATATGGATAATAGTTGTGTTGACTGATATTCCTTGTAGATGTATGGGTATGAACTATCACTGACGGCATTGGATGTCAAGATGGATCTTAAAGTGCTCATTTTGACCATGACTGAGATGCCTTTCCTCTTCAATTTGATCTTCCTGATCGTTAAAGCATATGACCACTTAATTCAAAATGGTCAGCACCAGCCATTGCATCTCACTAACACTGAGATATCAAACTCTACATGTTCCATTTCATTTTGGATGACTTCCAATTTTCCTGTATTCATATATTGTAGGTTCCACGTTCTGATTATTAATCTACATCATTAAAGTCAGCTCTTCCTTTGAAGAGGCAGCATTTCCCCAGATGTACTTTGAATACCTTCCAACTTGGAGGGCTCATCTTCTGGCACTTTATCAGACAATTCTCCACAGCTGTTTGTAAGGCTTCCAGTGGCTAAGTTTTCACATGGACTGCCTCTTTCTTCTTCCTAGTTTATTTTAGCTTCTGGAAGCTCTGCTGAAACCTGTTCATCACAGGTGACCCTGCTAGTATTTGAAATATTGGTGGCACAGCTTCCAGCCTCACAGGAACAAAGTGATAGACGAGTTATTTTATAAATAACTACGTTGTTGTTGTTGCTAAGTGCCATTGAGTTGCTTTCGATTCGTAGCAACCCTGTATAGGGTTTATAAGGAGTGGCTTGGGAGTTTGAAACGCTAACATTGCAGTTCAAGGCAACCTTGTGGTCTAGTGCTTATCCTATAGCACTACACCACAACTCCATAAATATATAGGAATATTATTATAAACAATAATAACTTTCTACTGAAACATTGCATAAAAATTTTATAGACACTCCTTTTTGTGGTCATCTCCTCTGACAGCATTACCCTGCACCTCTCTAGTGACGCCATTGCAAGACCCCGATTTGGACTTGTAACCTCCAGAAATCTGACTAAATAAATTTCTGATCTTTAACTCCACCCCCTAGTGGTATCTTTTGTTATGGCAGCACTAGGTTACCAGACGGCCCCTCTTATAATGTAAGCTGTAGAGGGCAGAGACACTGGTCTTTCTGATTAGTGTAGAATCTATGGAGGCTAACCACAGCAAGTTGTCAAAGGTGCCAGTTCAAGTTATGGATAAAAAGTGCAGTACTTTCTGATGACGCAGTTCACAGTTATCTTCCTCCCCTGAGAAAGAAGTGGGTACACCGGCTGCTTTTGTGTTTCCACTGCCTCTTGGCTACCCATGCCCCTGCCTCATGTTTCCTTCTGCCTGGACATGCCCTTCAAGCCAAGATTCTGAACCTTCTCTGGGTCATGGACTCCCTAACCACCTAGTGAAACCTATGCATCCCTCCTCAAAATAAAGTTGTTAAATGCATAGAATAGACAAGATTACAGAGGAAAACCATTACTCAAAGTTTTCAAAGTATTATAAAACTTTGAGATAGGCGCTTCTTTATTAATGTAATAAATAACGAGGTCTAGTGGGTCCTGGTGCTATAGTATAAGCACTGAACTGTGAATCACAAGGTCGGTAGTTCAAACCTAGCAGTCGCTCCTTGGAAACCCTATATAGGGATGCTATGAGAAGGAACTGACGCAATGGCATTTAACAACAACAGCAGTGGAGTCCTGATGTGGTGCTGTAGGATAAGCACTGGACTTCTAACTGAAAGTTTGGCAGTTCAAACCCACCAGTCGCTCATTGGAAACCCTATACAGGGTCGCGATGAGTCAGAATTGACTCAATGGCACTTACTAACCAATAACCAACTATGGAAATTCTAGTAACCATAGAAATTCATGTGGTACTATAGGATAAAGCACCGGACTGCAAGGTCAGCTGGAACTGCAAGGTTGACGGTTCAAACCAACCAACTGCTCCTTGGAAACCCTATACAGTATAGCTATGAGTTAGAACTGACTCAACAGCAATTAAAAACAACACTAGGAACTCAGAAGTACTGATGAGTGTAAATACTATCCCGTGTCCTGTGGTTTATTGCCCACATTCATAAATAGTGGATGTAAAATTTAATTTGAGGTTAATAAATATAATAATATATTCTTCCCACATCCAAACACCACATACGATTGAGTTGATTCCAGCTCATGGTGTGTGTCAGAACTCCCTTTGTAGAGTTTCCAATGACGGAATTTTTTAGTAGACAATCAAGCCTTTCTTCTGAGGTACCTCTGGGTGAATCTCGAATCATCAACTTTTCAGTTAGCAGCTGAGCACACTAGCTTTATGAACTACCCAGGGATTCATCCCAGTTCAAAGACACTCTGAATTCCACCCATGGGCACCAGGTGAGAACCTGTGGCTTACCTGTCACGGATGATGAAGTACTTCACAGGGTCTGTGATGTTACCGCTGGGTGTGGCATAGCAATTGGTCATTAGCAGGACAAAGCGGGACAGGTCGCCCCCATCCAGCATGGTGCCCACATACAGAAAGGCCTCGGTGGAGAGCGTCACGGTGGAGCCTTGATAGGGCAGTGTGTAGGCAGGGTTCTGGAAGAGGGCCATCCGCACAGTGAACATGCCTGTCCCGCCCACACTGATGTTGAGGGCACTGCAACAGGAGAGATGCTGGTGAGAGGGCCAGGGATGAGGAGCATCAGCCTATGGGCTGCACCTTTTGAGCTCTTGATTCTTGGACAGTCCCTTGGAGTTTTTCACTTTTTTCAATCCAGCAATGAGGCTGGAATGGCCAACCAGTGCTTCACAAAGTTGCAATGAACAAGTCACCTAGGGAATCGTGTTCAAATGCCAGTCTGGGGTGTGGACCAAGAGCTGTTTCTCACCAGCTCCCAGGTCACACACATTATGAGTCATAATGAGGATCTAAACTGTGTCTAGGTTCTCACTTGGTGGCCCTTGCTACCCTTGTAACTTTCAAGGTGAGGAGTAAATAAATTCTTGAGGGAATGGAACTTCCAAGTTTGTTTTCAGCCTAGTGCAGGTTAAAAGTCATCGGCTGCTAAATGCTATGGCCCTGAGTCCAAGTCCTAGCTCCACTCTGGTGTGTGCTAGCATCTACATCAGAAGATGAGACTGGTGCTTTTTGTTGTTTTTCCTACATTTCTCCCCACACTTTTAAACTAATCTCCCTCTAGAAATCTTGTAAGCCAGTCACTTCGTGCCTTTATCACCCCCTCATTTTAGGGGGCCAATGTCTAAGTTGCCCATCCCTTTCAACCTTGTGTACAGAAGGGATAGCAATGATATTTGATGTAAAGAGTCCTTCCCTCTTAGTTGATATTTTGAGCTACTACATCCATAAGTATAGGTCAAGTTCAACAAATTGGAGCTATTTACACTCATTTCCTTGATCAAAAATTGTTTGTATCTTCCTCTAGTCGAGTTCTGATCATCAAGCCATAGAGTCTAGGTTAAATGGGTACAGTCTACAAGTTTGGGTGTTCTTGTGCATCTCCCCTCACTTCATATCAGCTGGATGCTTCACTCTCAGCTCTAGCACTCCATGGCTACATCCTTATTCATGGGCTCAGGAATCCCCCACAGATTCTCATGGTCTTACCACACTTCAGACCAACCAGCCCTTCCAGATGAAAGTGGCTTGAATGAGTTGTTATTAGCCATGTTGAAAACAGCTCCCAAACTTAGACTTCACTGGACAAAACCACAAAAAGGCCATTTTAAATGGATACCTCCAAGAAATAGGGTACATTAGAAATACTCAGTTATGTGGAAATGTGTTTCCTAAGTGAGAATTGGACTCCTGTTGTGGGGCTATAGGATAAGTACTGGACTTTGAACCACAGGTTGGCAGTTCAAACCCACCAGCTGCCCCTCGGAAACCCTGTACAGGTCATCGAGATAGAATCAAGTCTGTGGCATCTAACAACAACAAGTGAGAATTGGGTTGTGGATTAATGGTTAGCCTGGAATAAGACTTCCATACCAAACAGATGTGTTTCACCCTGAATTCCAGATCTAGGACATACCACTTTAGATGAGGGTGATGGCCCAGACAAGCACAAGTCAGCTGTCTACCTCCTAGTACCCAGAGCCTTCGTCACACCTGATGACCCAGAGAACATAGAACCATAGGTGAGCTTCAAGCTGAAGGTCATGGAAGAGTGGGGGTTTGGGCCTAACAGCCTGGGTTTGAACCCCAGTTTTACCACTTACTAGTACTTCAGTGTAAAGAAAACAAAAACCCTCACTACTGACTACTGAAATAACATCACGATAAATGCAGAAAATGTTGAAGTTGTCAAAGACTTCATTTCTCTTGGACTCACTATCAATACTCATGGAAGCAGCAGTCCAGAAATCAAATGGTAAATTTATGTATTAGATAAATCTGCTGCATAAGATCTCTTTAAAGTGTTCAAGAGAAAAGATGTCAGTTTGAGGACTAAGGTGTGCCTGACCAAAGTCATAGTATTTTCAATAGCTTTACATGCATGTGAAAGTTGGACAATTAATAAGGAAGAC